ATATATACAGAGAGAGAGAGAACATAATATATTATACATATATAGTGTGTGTAAATGTATGTGTCTGTGTGTGTGTGTGTATTTAGAGAATAAAGTGCTTTCCTTTCAATTTCCTCTCCCAGCTCTGCTCCGGAAACATGGGAGCTACATGAGAGCAGTATTACATATGTTATCGTCAGTCTGCCCTCTCCAAGCAGATGTTCATCCATGGATGTGCTAAAAGGTGAGACTACATCAGATTATGCTGGCTCCTATTTTATAAGTTTAATGGAGAGGGAGAATCAACATTTCTAAAGATGGATAAGTAGAACATTGATCACATGCTATATTTGAAATGAATCATGCTTACAATAAGAGCTATGAAAACCCATGGCAGTGCCTGTGGCTGACCTGGTCTGTGGCAGTTACTGGGTGGAACAGCCCCAGTGGAGGTGACAACGATGGGCTCTAGATCCCTCACTGGTTGGGGTCTTCCTCACTGTCTGAATGTTTTCCTCCAGGAGCAGTTTGCCTAGATTTTAAATATACTCTAGAATCCAATGTTGTTGGGAGATTTTGAGGGTAAAATTTAAACTATCATGGATTTGTGCCATATTCAGCATTATAATAATTGACATGGAAGCATTTTATTTTAAAAGAAGATTTTATTTTTGGTTGTGAAGTGGGAGCAGCTTATTACAGGTTGTTCTTTGCAACATAGATCAGGAAGAAGAAAGAGAAAAACAGTTGCCAATGTTTAAAGAAGCAAAAATATCCTTTATGGTGAATGATTTAAGAGCTGAGGGGTAAACTGTAGTTCACTTTTCATATGCAGGTGGAAAAATTAGGAAGTGGGGCTTCGGTCTAGAAATTGAATGTCCAACATTGATAATAATTAGAATGTAATGGATAAACACGTCATCTACTATGTCTATAACTGATCAGATGTAATTTCATCCTTGGATATTGCTTTGCTTATGGCTTCAGTAGGAATGGGACAGGAGGTTAGAATAAGGATCAGATTGACAACTGCCCGTATTAAGGAGTTTTCTCATTTCTCATTTTAAAAAGACAGAATTAAAAGTCTATGTGTTCCTGGTCAATTTAATTATCATTTTACTTCAGAAAACTCTTACGTATTATTAAGGGTAAATACTGCATCTCTATTTAAAAAGAGACAGCACAACTTTAAGTGAATAGAAGTCATTTAGTTCCAGTGTGACAGTGTGACGGTGTGCAGTGATGGGCTAGGTCTTCCCCAGACTTTCAGAACCTTGGGTTCTTTTCATCCTACGGCTCTACCACCGTTTACAAAGCTGAAGTTTTGATTGTTGGCTCATAAACAGTTGTGTTCATAGAAAGACAACTCTGTCCAAGAAAAGCAATTTGTCTCCAAGCTGGAGATGATTGAAGATTTCTGTGTATTGTTTCCATTCACATCCTTTTGACTCAAACCTGGCAACATGGTACATTCACCGGCAAAGGAAGAGTACTTTCTAGCTAGGAACTTGCATAAGGAACTAAAATTGTGCTCCATGCTCTATTAGTTGTTGATACACTTATTGTCAGTATTATTGTATCAATTTCTGCTTTGGGAGAATTAATGAAAACGTATCTGGGCAGTTGAATAAAGGCTAAATGTTTCTAACCATGACCTTGGAAGGGCTAGTGTATTGCCCCAGACTAGAAAAATGACTTTTCCCTTTCCCTCCTGCTCTGCCTGTGTTCTTCCTCAGCCATACTTCAACTTTTTTAGCTTAGAAACCTTGTGATCAATCTTAATTTCTATTTATAACACTAAATTCAATCTACCAGTGAACCCTCTATTGTCAAACAAAATATTCTAAACTCACCCGCCGGAAGCTAATTACTACCTTTGCCATTGACATTTTTGTCCAAGCCACCATCGTCTCTTATTTGTCATTTTTTTCCCAGGACAAATCTCGATCATATGCACTCGGGCAGGGACATTTATTTATTTAAATAGCTTCAATAGAGGTGAGGTAGCACTCCAGGCTTCTCAGAGTGCACATAAGATAGATAATATGGAGGTTTTCAAAAACCTCAATCGAGAGAGAGAGAGAGAGAGAGAGAGAGAGAGAGCGGGAGGCTGAGATGATTATGAATGGAGTCTAAAGCTTAGAAGAGGTCATGAAGATTTAGGTATTTGAGACCAGAGCACTTGGACAGGACTGTGAGCATCTGCCACAAGGACCTGTTGTCTCATATGACTCAGCAGATAATGCAAAGGCCCCACAGTCGGCACAAGACGCGCCGCGATCAGCCTCATTTCATTGTATCCTTCCGTGGTCCACAGCACAATATAAAAGATTGGGGCTCCTTTCCCCCTCCCAACACTCACAGAACAATGTAACTGACCTCCCTATATAACCAGGGTTATCTTGGGACCCTCTATTCTATGGGAATAACAATCAGAAGCACCATTCACCCCAAATAGACACGTTTGAACTGAAAGGTTTAGGTTAAACTGGAAGATAGTAAGTACACTAAACTGAAAGATCTATCTCAGCTCGTGAACTTAATTTGTTCAGATTCGGGAAATGATGGTCACGTTACTGTTCTTTCAGGAAAGATGGCTGTGGTCATCTTCATTACCAATGCAGAGTTTAAAAAATAAAACCCAAAATTTTACCAAATGCTTCTGTTTATGAACCAAGTTGTTCACAAACAAAAGTGTTCGTGAACTAATGTACCACTATATGGATGTGCATAGTATGTGGGTGTGTTCAATAGACGAGATCAACTCATTTACAGAAATTGAACACACATTTAGAAATAAGCTATTCATTTGGGTTAATAAGCATCTTCAAACATAAGATAAAAAAACTACTGCTCATGCACACTTTACTAGTGTAGTGACTGACTTCGCTGTTGCGAGAGAGCTAAGAATGGAGGAAAGAGACCAAGGACACAGACACTCACTGAGATGGTTCTGAGGCTACATAAGGAGGAGGACAGGACTCCTTTCTACTGAGTCAGAGTTAGAATGAGAGGGTGGGAGCCCAGAATGGATAATATTGCTGGGTCTTGTATCTAGATGTTCCCTTAAAGCTACAACAGTCATAGGGGTGCTTTCTGGATTTAGGGTGTGTGATGCTGGGATTAATTTGGGTGTGAGTGCTACCTGGATAGAATAAAAGGGACAGAAAGAGGGCTCCTGCTGTCACTTCCTTGCTACTGCAGTGCTTTGCTGCCTTCCTGCCATTTGCCCACCTTGAACTATTTCTCTTCTGTGATGCCCCTCTGCCAGGCCACCTTGCCTTGGAGCCAGCTGATTATGGGCTGAAACCTCTACAAACTGTGAGCTAAATAAACCTTTACCTCTTTAACTTTGAGTGTCAGGTATCTTGTCTCAGCACCCAGAAAAGTGACTAAGACAATAATGGACTCCATGAGACTACTAAAGTGCATCATAAACAAAACCAGCTCCAGGTACTTCTCTTTACTAGCAATTTTGGGAAGAGCACCTCTATCCCTCACTGTGGCTGACTAGTTCAGTCTGAAATGGTCCAGGCTTCCCTTGGTCAGCAGTCAGCAGGCCTTCACATGGTTTTCTTCTCTTGCCTTTTCCTTTACTGCCTTCCTTTTGCTCTGGTGAAGGAGGAGGAGGAGGAGGAAAGAAGACTAAGAAGACTAAGAAGAGGAAAAGGAGGAAGAGGAAGAAGAGGAATAAAACAAATGCATTTGCACAAGAGTCATGTTTCTCAGGTTATTTCTAAACTAGTCTCTGAGTAGAACTAAGGTGAAGATACTTTAATTTGGGCTTTCAACTTCAAATCCAGGTCAGGAAATTGCATAGATATAGGATATCTAGTTGCTGATTTGAGCATACCAGAGTACAATGTCCTATGCACTTGTTCTTCCTGAACAAAATACTCACGTTTATGTTTATTTATTTAATAAATAAGAGATTCATTTAGGTTAATAAACTCCTTTTTAAAATTAAAATTATAATAGTTATTAGGAGAATAACACCGCTCATAGTCTAGTGTAAGAGAGCATGAGTCTGATAAGGTTTCTAGGAACACCTAGTTTTGGCAAGGTGATATAATTGGGAATTTTTATTAGGTTGAAAAGAGTTAAGAGTAAGAGAGCATTGTGTTTGGGTGAGGATTGGGAGGGGAATAATGGGTACACTGAGACTCTGGCCCTGTGGAGGGGTCACTGACCAAATGAATGCCACTGGTCAATAGAGAAAGTGGGACATAAGAAAGGTTTAGGATACAAGTGGTCCCAAGGAATACTACTGTGACCTTTGGCCACAGGAAACTCTTTTAATACTTAACTATACAGGAAAAGTTCTTTCTCTATGTCTCTGATTTGGGAATTGCAGAAATGGCTGAATAATTTCCTTTCTTTTCTGTTTATAGTGGGAAGTGGATGATCTTACTTACTTCCTATCTCAACAATGATGTGAGATTGTTACTTACCTTCCCGAGAGAGGCTCTTGTTAAAGAGAGGAGCAGAACTAGGGAGAAGCTTGTTTCTGGAAAGTGAGGTGGAATCTGGAGAAGATTCGGGGACAGATTTCAAAATCCTGTGTGAATACATTTGACAAGGTTTTAAAAGCAGTGATTGAACCAGCAAGACTCTGAGATTACAGGAATCTAAATACAGCTAATTGTAAGGTCAGCTTTCTGTGTTTGACTGTGGTGGTGGTGTTTGTTTGTTTGTTTGTTTTTTAAGGCATCGTGCCCAGTTTGGAGAAAATGTCCAATGAAAAATAGGCGTCCTGGAATAAAATAGTTTCTTGGGAAGTAGGAGCAAATAGATTTCATTCATTTATTTGAATATGTCCATTCATTCATTTATTGTAATAGCCATCTTGAAATGATTCTGATTTCTCAGCCAATGAGCTAAAAATCGTCAGGACTAATTTAGCTGAAATTGCCTCCTGAGAACCGTATAAAAGGCATGGTTACAGTCTGTGTATTGATAGGTGTTTCTGTATTTTCCCTACATTTCTTGCTGTCTTGTTATGTCCTTATTGCACACCAGCTCTGGTGAACATCAGCAAAGGTCAGTGCTAACTTTGGTATGGCCATGACGCCAGGATATGGCATGTGGGTTTGTGTGTGCTTAGTGTGCAGCCTCCAGTTGAGGAACAGAATTACAAGATCTCAGTATTTGGGTGAACAGCCTTGAGCCTCATCACGGTGTATTTAAATTGGCCCCAAAGACAAGGGCTCCTGAAAATCCTGAAAATACCTGTTTAATATTTCCTTATCCTTGACCTCCTGTTTAGGTTTCCATAGGCAGCAGTCTTCTGTTTTAGAAACAAATCACTTTCTATTATAATTCACAAATACTCAGGTCCCTAAAGGAACCTGAGATTTCAGCTATTCAGCAAAATTTTTATTTGCGAAGCACATGCCTGCTAGCCTGTGAGATTGCAGTTGCTATTCATATGAATGTTGGCAACATTTCATTGTGGGGGTCAATTATGGTCATTTACCATGATGACATAATAACAACTGCAAAAATGTGAAAGCTAAAGTAGGGTTATTATTACTGTTTGTAACGTCTGTGTCCCAGATGTTCCTGCTAGGAGAGAAAAAAAGCTGGAGTGCAGAGATAGGCGACAGCAGTGCTAACCATTCAAATCAACACTGGATTGAACAATTTGCAAGACAGGAATGGATCAGGAAGCTAAAGCCAGCATTTGAGTTTTACTCCTTCCCTCACCTTGAACTGCAAGCTTTTTCCTTCTTGGCAGGTCATACAGAAACATCCCTGCACTCCAGCCTCAGGATGAAAGAAAAAGAAAAATACATTTGCCCAGAGAGATGGGCCACCAGCCAGTGCCATTCTCTGATATACTCCCAAGGAGGAATTTCTTTCCAACTCATAGAGGGTTAGGGGGGCCATAAAACTGCATAGCTTCAACCCCATGAAATAAGGTTAGTAAAATACAGGAACTCCGATACAGCTCCATGCAGTATACCTCTCATCACCTGCAATTCACCAGTGGCTTTGTGATAGACATTCCCAGCACCTGGCCAGTTTTTGTCAGCTGTGATCAGTGAGTTCCTTTCAGGAAAGTTCACCCTCCTACCCTCGCACTTTCTACCCTGGGCAGAGGTCTTGTGCTAGGGTAGCATTGAACCTGCTGAGCATAGAGATGCTTTGCATCTCCGTCAGCAGCTATCTTGAGTGATAACAGTCTGGTAGCCAGCACCAGCGTAAGACAAACACACGTACTTGTCCAGTGAAAAATACAGCAGCAGTTGAATAGATGAAAAGGTAATAAAAAAATCCGGCTCTTAAAAAAAATTTCAACTCTGATGATGCCCTTTTTTTCAACATGGAGAAAAAGAATCACAGTAGGCAGAGACTCCATTTTTTTTTCACACTTCATAGTTCTGTCAGTGTGATGTTGAAGAAGTGCCATTAATCAAGAGCGTTGTTATTCATTAGGCACAGTGATGTACTTGAATGTTACTTTAGTATCATTGTTCAAAGCCTCTGGAACAGCTTTAAAGGAGGAAAAAATTTACAGCGATAGTTTACAGCTAGGATTGTAAGAGAACTTTCCTACTATTAACCAAATGTTAAACATGGTAATAATAGTAATAATACCTTGTATTTATACAGTGACTGACTTCTGAGAAATTCGGAGTTCTCAATAAACAGTGGCGTATTCATTGTCAACAACATCCTTTTGTAGAAAGCTAGAGGGAGGTATTATTACCCCCTTGCCATCAGGCCAATAATACGTTCTTTGTGTTTACAGTTATCTCTGATGTGTGCTGTGCGGAAGTGGGAGACAGGAAAGGATACTCAGAATGCAGTGTACATGTGGTGCTGGGAAGGAGGAGTTGTGTGTGTCCTTTGAAGAACTAAGCTAAAAGGAATCGTTTGCCTTGTGTAGTGACTGTGAGGGATTTGGATCAACAGGATAGTTCAACTTGTTTCTTTGGGCATCAGGAATTAAATACAGCACATTATAATCGTAATGCACATCCTGAGGAAATTAATTTTAAATACTCTGCCTGCTAGGAGGAAAAAGTGACCTCAGGCTCTGGCAGGTGTTGTTGCATCCCAAAGCAGGGGGGCTTATGTTGCTTCTCAGAGTGACTGGTTCCTGGCCCTCCCCAGCTTCTCGCAGTGGATTGGACCAGGGCCAGGCCAATCAGATTCCTTCTCCTGGGCATTGAGTAGTGGATTGTGGGGAAACAGTAGTGAGTCTAATGAATTCTTGAAAATGACTTAAAGGTATGCCTGGCATGACTAACTGGTCCATAAAAAAAGGAACAGAAAAAAAAAGAGAAAAGAAAACAGAAAAAGGAGAGGAAGAAGAGGAGACATTTCTTTGGATTAGGTGTTTTGTCTCTATCCCACACTTCAGGCTTATTCTAAATTCTATCTAATAAGTACTTATCCCACTTAAGTGTTTTTCTTTTATTCCTGAACAAATGGTCTCTAAACAGGATAGTGAATATCCTAAGGTAACTGCACTGGGAAGACTGTATAAGGCTAAATTACCAGTCCTCATGCACCAAAAGCCACGTCTGTGTGTTTTATTTGGAGGGCACTGGGTCCCATCACATCTAATAACTTTTGTAGGGTGTTCAGGCCAAGAAAGACCGTTTAGTGCAGTTTTTACCACACTCTGAAAAGGGTGAACTTTATTGTGCATTTTGTGTACCCATTTATTTCTTTAAATCTGATCCTATTTTGTTTATTTGGACCCTCTTCAAGTCAGTTTTTTTTATGCAACTACTTCAAAAAGCTTGGAGGAGATGTACCCATCTTTGGGAATCATGTCCATGCCCCATGACAGGCACAACGAAAATCTCAGCACGTGCCACTTGACCCAGGATTTCCAGTCTGAGGTTAACACCAGTAATAGCTGTTGAATTTTTAAGAAAAGAACTCAAATGCAATATTGCACCCCTAAACTCTTGCTGTTCTGCCACAAGAAAAAGAAGCCACCTTCCAATTTGATTCCTGTTCATGTCTCCCCTTTTATTACTGAAATATTCCACATTCTGAGATGGATAACTGACTAGAAAGATGGGCACAGATGCCTGGGACAGAAATACATCAGTGCTTGTAACAATACACAATAAAAGAATTTCTCCAAGAAAGTGGGTATTTCAGGACTTCTTTAGAAGAGCGGATGTGCGGGAGCAGTGACTTAAAGGATTGTCTTACAGATTAGCCAAAGACTTTGGCGTCAGATTGAGTTTTTCAGCTTTTTATAAGAATGACTTTGGATCAGTTGCTTAAGCTTCGTGAGGCTGTCTCCTTGTGTTCTTTATAACAGAAGCAACAGTAGCTGCTCTGTAGGATGCTGCAACAGTGAAATGCAATGGTAAATATAAAATACCAGGTTCCAGACCACAGGAAGAAGAGTTCTGGATGTTTTGGGATGGGTTGATAACATCAAACCTGAGTGAGCATAACTCAGCCCAGCGAGTCTACAATGGTTTTGAAATTCAATACCATTCAACACATTTTCCCTAGATGATTTTAAAAAAAATATTTGAAACGTAATGATTAAGCCTCAAAATAGGTCTAAGTGAAATTAAATAACCCTCTGCATGCTGTTACTAAATTAACAGAAATGTCTCATAAGGTCGCTTCAACCTGAAATCCCTCAGCATGAAAACTGATGATGCTAAAGGTAACGGGACCTAACGGGCAGTGAAGGGACTTCTCTGCACATTCTCATTTTAGAAAGCTCCCCTTCTGTAAAACTAGTCATGCTTTTAGGACAGAAAGGGACTGCTACCCCCCTTGAGCAGGCTAGCTGTGTTCTGAAGGCCCCAGCAGGTGGCCCGGGGACCTGCACCGCGAGCAGAGTAAAGCTTCCTGTCCTCGGTGCTGCCAGCGTCCAGGCTCTTACTGAAGAACCCGAAACATTACAGGGTGAGGCGATTTGACACTGGAAATGACTTAATGCTCTCCACTGGAGAATGTGTTTATACTCCTACAACGTTCACTGTCCCGGTGAATTTAGAGCCTGGATTAGTCAGCGCTTCCAGGCTGGACACATTGCCCGATGCTCAGACCTAAATGGAGGAAAGGTTTAACTTAACTCATGGTTTGGGGGATTCAGTCCATTCTCCACTGGTTCCAAGGCAGGAGCTTTGGGGAAGAGGGAGATGACAGAACAAAGCGGTGTAGGAGAGGACTGGGCGAAGGGCCAGGTGTTGTACCTAAGGCCACACCTCCGTGACACCCCCTGGAGCTTGCTTTAATAATGTGCCAGGTGTTTCTTAACCCGGTGAAGCTGACACATCTGGGTTACTGTTCACGGAACAGTTTTCAAAGGCACACCTCATACAGCCATCTCTTCAGGAATTTTGACGGAAGTTCATTACTTTCACCACTCATTCATTCAATTTTTAAAAATATCTACCGTATCTCAGGTAGTAATAACATGATCTGGTCAAAGCTGACTTGGTCCTGCCCTGCTGAAGTAGGGGTCTCCTTGTCTCTGTCCCTTTAGCTCTGTGTGGTATCTAATCTCACCACTGACAATTCACAGCCGTCTCCTTTGAACTTTAATTTCTCTTGTGCACTGGGGGTAAATGTGATTTCTTGCTGGAAATGATAATCCTCAGGACAAGCTCACTGACAGAGTGTACAAGGCTATCCATACTTTGCCTTCACTGGAGTCTTATAAATTTTTTGTGCACCTCCATGATAAGCAA